GGCTGCGGAGGGAGACGGTCGCGCGCGCGTTCGTTCGTTCTGTTCTCACCCGCCTCCCTCAACGTCCGTTCAGCTCGGCGGCGCGCCCCCCCGCCATCATGCGCGCGCGAGCTCGGATGTGGGCGGCAAAGGAGCTGCGCTCCCGCTAGCCCGCCCTCCTCGCGCACTTCCGTCCCTCGTGCAGAAGAGCAATCGAACCCCTCCCCTCGCTCGCGCATCTCGTCTCGCGCATGCGCTGTTTTTCGCGCGTTGGCCCGGGGCCTGCGGAAACCCGACTGTTTTGGGAGACTGCGCAGAAGCAGGAAGTTGGTTTTGCGAGGGTTGCGGGCAGGGCGGTCACGAGTGCGCCTGCGCTCCAATCAAACCGGCGGGCAGGGCAGGGGGGAGGGAGAGAGGGGGGCCCCCGCCGGCAGCGCGCTGATTCCCGCCCTCGCCCACCGCAGGAGCTCAGTGCCCCGCCCCCACTTTCCCCGCCTGCGCGTCTCTGCGCTGCAGCGCGCCAGGCTGCTCGTCCCGCGGGCGCAGATGGTGCTGTGGGGCAAGCGGGAAACCCCCGCCCACCCGTGTGGCCCGGGACTGAGGCGCTCCTGGGAGCTGGGATTTGAAACCATCGGAGTATTCAAAACAATAATAAATGTGCCGCGCTGCGTGTGCGTTTGCCTTGCCCTTCCCCCAGGCTTTGTCCCTCCCAGCTTGCCGCCGCCCGGCCGAGCTGGAGAAGCAGAGGGGGAGGCTTGTATCATCACTGGCCTCCAGGAGCTGGGGCCTTGAAAAACATGGACAGGCTTGGGATGAAAAGCGGGGGCAACAGGGCAGCTAAGGGAGAGGGAGCGATCGAGGAGAATGATATGGTGGCTCCTGCCCCTGCAGAGCTCAAACTATGGGGCTGCAGTAGGAGAAACAGGCAATCCCAACAGTGCCAGCAGACAAGCGAAAACATTTAAGAGAAATAGAAATGTAGCCCTGTTAGTCTGGTGTAGCTGAAACAAAATACCGGACTATGTAGCACTTTAAAGACTAACAAGATGGTTTATTAGATGATGAGCTTTCGTGGGCCAGACCCACTTCCTCAGATCAAATACATTTGATCTGTAACATTTGTATTTGATCTGAGGAAGTGGGTCTGGCCCACGAAAGCTCATCATCTAATAAACCATCTTGTTAGTCTTTAAAGTGCTACATAGTCTGGTATTTTATTTAAGAGAAAGTTCCTTAGTTAGGCTATGTCTACACTTCAGTGCTATTTAATTGCATAGCATATTTTGAGCTAAGAATGCAGTGTACATGCACCCTGAGGGTACCTCTATACTACACACTTATTTTGAAATAAGCTATTCCAGATTAATAGTTATTCTGAAATAGCTTATTTCAAAATAGCATGTCCACACTACAAGGAAGCCTCAAAATTAGTCCTAATGTTGATGCGCTATCTCGATTTACAGCCCCAGGAAGCACTGGGGAGAAATTACTTAGAATGGCCCTGGTGATGAGCTATTTTGAAATAGCAGCGGTGGAGTCCATATTGCAGCTATTTCGAAATAGTTATTTTGAAAGAGGAATTATTCCTCATACAATGAGGTTTACATAAGTTGGAATAAGCTGCCTGTTATTTTGAAATTATTTGGAAATAATGGGATTGCTGTGTAGATGCTCACATTGTTATTTTGGAATAATGGTGTAGTGCACCGTTATAGACAGAGACTCCTGTTTATCCACATCTCTCTTTTCATGGGAGTCAGTCTTTCCCACCTCACAATCACGTTTTAATTTTCCTCTCACTGCCACTGCCACAAAGCGTAAGTGCTCTATGCTTCATTGAGAAGATGTCTCAAGTAGTGAAGTGATAAAATTCCCACAAATTTTATACAGTCACAGCAGGATTTGGATGCCAGTCATTTTCTATCATTCATTTTCATACATTTCAAGTGCTGAAGTATATTTTTTTGGAGCAGACACTTCTTTCTTAAGTAGGTGGAAGGTGAATTTCAACTGTTCATATTTCCTTGTGTTGACATACAAACACTTAATCTCTTTCTTTTGTTAGTATTAACAGTAACCAATAAAATTAGGCACAAACATTTTTGTGCTTTCTAAGGATTTTTTTCAAAAAGAGATTCTGTTTTGAACTATAACTTTAAGTGTAGAATAGATCATATTTTGTTTTGACCTGCTATTTACATCCCAATTGTTTTACATATTGAATATAAAGAGAATGGAAATGTTTGCAGGATTTGGGGTACTGTTATCTTGAGTCTTCTGCCCAGGGGTTGGGACACTTGCTGCTCTTCCTGCCCCCTCCATTGGTTACAACTCCCACTGATTGATAGAAAAGGTCCCTGCATCACTGTTAAATGAGCCACAGATGGTGAAGGGAGTGGACAGTGGTAGTTGTGTTCCATAAACAAGGTGAGAGGAAGGTGTGGCTAGTCTCTTGCTGGGCTCTAAGCAGCAGCATGGACCTTAGTTTTGGAAGGGCTTTCATTGGGGAAAATAGCTTACCTTTATAGGGCTTGCTTTCTTCAAAGCAAATCCTTTTGGGTGTGTGGTTTAGAAGAGTGTGTGCAATAAGGGAAGTGTGTAGGTTCATGGTGGCTAGTTAAAATCTGTTTTGGGACTGTGTACTAGATGGAACTGGGAGTGACAAGGACTCTCTCTGCTCTGAGTGTTTTTCTTTCTCCTGAGGAGTGAACTGTGTACAAAACTGTAACAGGTTGTTCAATTTTTGTCAATTACTTTTTTGAAGTCTCTAGTTCAGTAAATGTATGCCTGCTTCACTTCATACCAGCTAGTGCTAACTATCTTTCTTTCTAGTCCCCCTTTACCACTTTGAAGTTAACTGACCAGTAGGGTGCTTCTTGTGCAGGTTATTTAGAGGCACCTGGTGGCATGTAATTTATAATAAAGCTTAACTCTGCTTATATAGAAAATCTAGCTGAGGCTTTGTTTTGGCCTTCAGTGTCAGTTCTAACTGAATATAGAGATAGATGCTTGTTGGGGGGTCTCTCTCTTTAGTTTAAAACAAATCTAAAGATGAACTCTGTGCATAAAGACAATCTTGCTTTTTGTCATGTGGCTATCTGGTGAAACAAATGACAGCTGAATGCTGAACTTTGCTTGATAGTAAAACTTGTTTTACTTTCTAGCTACTACTATGGCCTTTGTAGCTTCTCCCCTAATGGTGATAGAAATGAAAGCAAGTAAAAATCTTCAGGATAGAGTGAGGTGTACTAGTATGGGACTATATATGTTTGTTTTTTAATATAGATACTTTAATCTGTTCATTGCAATACTGTGACTTGTTTAGAAGGATGTGCTAGTTAGTAGTCTTTAAAGTGGCTAATTCTGATAACTTTTTGCCATTTCAGCTTAAAAATGAACACTGCGCCAGCTTCAGAAAATGGGCCATATTCCACAAACCACACAAGACCCTTTTTTTATGCACAGCCAACAGCACAACAACCTTTCCCAAATCCATGGTATCTCAGTAATGTGTATAATCCATACTGCGTTCCTGCACCTGGTAAGGCAAGATTGAGCTGACTGAGGACAATGTGTTTGAGTTACTGCCTGAGTTAATGAAATCCCTGTTTCATAGTGAAGCTTTCTTCACCTGTTGTGTAACTCTTGTATTTCCCCTAATATGGAGGCTAGAATTAGTGTATGAAGTAAAAGTGTCTTTCTTACAATGTGTTCCTATCTATTTGTTCAGCTATATTATAAACTAGTGTTTGTAGTCTGTTCTGTTCATGAATGGGGCAACACCAAATGAACTGAACAAGTTTCCTAGGAAGAATCTTGTAAATGGAAGCAGGCAGTTTCAGCAACTGGCAATAATAGCAAACCCCATTTGAATCAGGGACCCCTACTATATTATTTGTCTATGAGGAATATAGAGTAAAATCACCTTGGCAAACATCCATCGAGACAGAAAACCTAAGTGAAAACTGAACTTCAGTATAGTCATGACTCTGATACCTTAATGGCTACTGAGGGAGTACCCTTCTGTAATAATTGCCTATTCTTATTTACAGGCAGTCCCCGGGTTACGTACAAAATAGGGACTGTAGGTTTGTTCTTAAGTTGAATCTGTATGTAAGTCGGAACTGGCGTCCAGATTCAGCTGCTGCTGAAACTGACCGCCATTGTCTTCCCACCAGCTGGTGCTCCAAGCCTCTCAGATCCTTTAGATGTTAGCTCTAAATTTCTACAGACCAGGTAGTTAAACAGACCTAAATGTTGGCACTTACACTTGCCATTAATTATGGCTGCAAAATGAGAGGCCAGTTTAAAGATATGTCCCTTTCAACAAAATACAGCAGAATTTTTAGGATTAAAATTTTCCATTGTTAAAATTGTGTTATTTATAGTAGCTTTGTAGGAAACAGCTTTTCCTGAAGCCACCAGCTTTACTTTCTATTGAATCAGGAGACAGAAGGATAACTTTTGATTTATGCCTGGCCACACATTTTTTGTATCTTTTCTTTCAAAACACAAAAAGCTATACATTTCATTACAATGAAGAGATGCTTTTTCTATGTGAGAAGCCTTTCAGGCTGAAAATAACAAAAACCATCAGTGAGTGAAAAATCCTGCAATAATAATTGCAGAAAATAGTATTCAATCAGCCAAATAAGCCATATTAACTACAATACAAGAAAAAAAATTGGGGTGGGATGCACAAAGGAAGCTACCGTATTTTCCGGCGTATAAGACAACTTTTGATGTTAAAAAACATCTCCCCAAAATCGGGGGTCGTCTTATACGCCGGTATGCGGCTTTGCAAAGCCTTGGGGGAAGCCGGCGGCGGGGCATCCCAGGTGCGCCTGAGCTGCCCCGCTGCCGGAGCCCCTCCGTGGCTTTGCTCCGCGTCTTCCTGGTCTGCAGACCAGGGAGACGCAAAGCAGCTTTTCTCGCCCTGGAGTTCACGGGCGGCGGCACCGCGAGGTCCCGCAGTCCATGTACTCCGGGGCAGCCCCGTTCGTAACTGCGGATCCAACGTAAGTTGGATCCGCGTAAGTCAGGGACTGCCTGTACTGTGCTTGGGGGAATGGGCATTGATGAACAGACTGACCTGCCAAGGTCATAGGGAAAGTGTGGTAGAGCTGAAATGAAACTGTTAGTGAACTTCCAGACTCCAAACATGAAACTGGTTGGAGACACGTCTCCTACTGTCGTATTTGCTAAAAGGCTTCATGTCAGAGCCTGAAGTGTCAGAGATTAAGTGCAGAAAAATGTCACAGTAGCCATAAACAATGCTCAAGATGTTTAGCTAAAAACTAATACCTATTCTCTCTTGGGTGCTAGGATAATATGAGTTTCAAGAGAAACTGAAAATGCCATATTGAAATGTTCACCAAAATGCTCCAAATTCCCACTGCCTTAAGACTATAAACAATAGGAATGGGAGGAACTGTATGGAGGCTTCTAGAAGTTGGATGGGACTTCTTTTAATATCCAGTATAGGGGTGTTAAAATTAATCGACTAATGGAATAGTTGATAGAATTTGCATTGACTATTTGATTAGTCAATAAGGGCGCTTCAGCTTTGAAATGTAGCAAGAGCCCTCCTGGGTATTGCTGCATTTCAAAGGCAGAAATGCCCCTCGGAGTTCCGTCTTTGAAATGTACAAGAGGTCCAGCAGCAGCTCTTGTGCATTTCAAGAGGAACGCCACCACTGTGTCCCTGCCCCAGTGCTTCTTCTCCCCACCCATGCTGTTCCTTTCTGATAGGCAGCCTGGGTGGGAGGGGGGGAGTGATTAGTTGACTAGGGTGTCAGCTGTCCAATAAGCTTTTGCTTATCAGCCAATGAGTTGCTTGCATCCCTAATCCAGTGTTCTGTAACAGTTGAGCACAAGGAGAGTTGAGACTGTTATGCCTGAAGTTTAACTAAATGTACAAGGCAAGTAAAGCCATTTTTAAAATCTTGTTTCTAGTAATATGCAAAATCTGGTTCCATGAAAGGCTTTCCATAACAATCTTTATTGGTATGAATGGCTTTCTGATTAGTCAAGGCTAATCAGACAACATAGTTTTAAGTGGGAACTTTCAGTTAATAAATGACTTTATTGAAATGCTCGAATTCACTTTAAGAGAACATACTACTGCCCAATACATACTGGGTACGTTAACAATGCATATATTAATTGGATTTATATTTGTAGTTAGAGCTGGCCTCTAAAAAGCATTATAAAAACAATAATTTAGTGATGAGTCCAGTGATACCTTAAAGACTAAGGGTACGTCTAGACTACATGCCTCTGGCAACAGAGGCATGTAGATTAGGCTACCAGACATAGGAAAATGAAGCGGCGATTTAAATAATCGCCACTTCATTTAAATTTACATGGCTGTCGCACTGTGCCGATCAGCTGTTTGTCGGCACAGCACGGTAGTCTGGACGCACGGGGGTCGACATCAAAGGCATTTGTCGACCTCCCAGGTATGCGTCCTGGGATAAGGCTTACCTGGGAGGTTGACAAATGCCTTTGATGTTGACACCCGCGCGACCAGACTACTGTGCTGTGCCGACAAACAGCTGATCGGCACAGTGCGACAGCCATGTAAATTTAAATGAAGCGGCGATTATTTAAATCGCCGCTTCATTTTCCTATGTCTGGTAGCCTAATCTACATGCCTCTGTTGCCAGAGGCATGTAGTCTAGACGTACCCTTAGTCTTTAAGGTATCACTGGACTCATCACTAAATTATTGTTTTTATAATGCTTTTTAGAGGCCAGCTCTAACTACAAATATAAATCCAATTAAACTTCTGAAAAAGCAAGCTTCTTTGTCTAGGTGCTCTATCAGAAGTCTAGATGCTCTTTCGAAAAAGCACAGTTTGCATTACCTTGCACCTTTTTTGTGAAAGAGCACTTTTGGGGGGAAAAGGCATTCTTCCTCATAAAAGGATGTTTACAGTGGTCGAAAACTGCCACGTTCTTTCGGTTTACTTTCAAAAGATGGCTGCAGTCCAGACACAGGTGGGGGGGGGGTGTGGTCCCCCCCAAAAAAAACCCCTGTAGTCTAAACACACCCTATGTCTGCTTCAGCAGAAACCTAACTCACCCACTTCTCAAACTTATTAGATAAAAGCTCTAGGAGTTTGGATGGTGAATTAAATCTCATGCTTCAGGGCATAAATCTAACTAACTAGGAAGAGAGATTATCTTGTAACTGCCAACCTATGTTTGGTTCTGGCCAGTGTTGGAGGTTAGGGTATTTAACTAAGTAGACTACTGACATGGTAGTTCTTGTGTACTTAGTGGAGTCTGGATTTGTGTGGGTTTTTTAAGCTTTTATTTCGGAAGACTGTGCTGTGTTATAGACAAATACATATATTTGTCTTTTGCCTTTTTATTATCTTTAGGTTTCAGAGGTGGGAATCCATATTTTCCATTTTATTCTGTTGCACTACATGAGTACCCTGGATATCTTGTTCCACAACATTCCATGCATGCAAGAGTTAACAGAAGACCTTATTTTAATGTTCCCCCACCCTCCCCTCTGTTTTATCATGCAACACGGTTTAGACATTACAGTAGTCCTGGGAAAAAAACAGTGACCAGAGAGACACAGACTGATCCTAGACAGCCTGAAAACAAAACAAAAAAGCATCAGGATCTCCGTACAGAAACGAAAGGCTGTGAACCAGGGAATATCACCTGTGTTTCTTCTGGCATTGGTACAGACACTGAAAGTACTTCAATGAAACAAGATTCACCTGGATCTTCAGTTGTGGTAGAAAGAAACTTTCAGAACAAGGGCTCTTCAAGCTCTGCACAATATAGAAACATTCCTTCAGGAAGCTATGCCTTTGAGAAAGAAGAGGTCCGAATAGAGTATGGAAATGGCTCACCTGCAATTCAGTTATGGAAGTCCTTTAAGGAAACTATTCCTCTGTATGATGTGGCAAGTAGTAAACCAGTTCCAGAGAATATCGTACAACGTGATTTGTTTTCTGTTGGTTCTTGTGACGGAGTAATATATAGCCCTCGTGAAGGGGAGGAGTTGGTGTCATGCGCGTCCTATTCAGATGAGCGAAAAACTGCTCTTTCTTTGAAGAGGAGTGGTGAAGAAGGGCAGGAAAAAGATGTCCAAAATAATGAAATAAAACTAGATGCACAAAAGCTGGGAAATGCAATCCAAAAGGCAAAATCTCCTCTAGATGAAGCCAGGGCAATGCAAATGGCTGAGTTGGCCAGGACTGTTAGTAATGATCAGCTAGTGGCAAGGCAGAACACACTGTCTAACAGAACTAGTTTGAAAAGATCTGCTTCTTCAAAAACTTCTGAAGAGGAGGCTAACCTTGTCCATAAAGTACAGTTATCTCCATCTGGTACAGAAATAACAAATAACTCAAATCTACAGCAGAAAAAGGTAAATCAGAGCCACAGTACAACCAATGAAAGTCTGATAACATCGGATAAAAGCTTATGGTGTGATGAATCAGTTGAAAAGTATGTTCCTTCTGACAGATGGCTAGCTTGCGTGGATGCCATGGACACTAATTACAACTACGATATCCCTTTGCCACAAAGGAAACGTCAAAGTGCACTCAGTCTGTCTTCTGATGAAATGTCTTCTAAAGATGAAGAATCATCAATTGATGATGTACCTGTGTCTTATTTTGTCCCTGATTATGTGCTTAAGAACATGTATGCCTTTCAAAAAAGTACAGAGGGCCCAGAGACAGAGAAAATTAAAAGTGGTGGCTCCCTTAATGAAGATGAAGTGGTGGGGAGGGAGCAGACCAATGTTGTCAATAGTCAGAACTTCAAAAGCTGTTCAAAAGTGAAGATTAAAAAGATGTCCAGCAGAGGTAGACAGATTGGAGACCTCCCTAGATCTTCCAGTCAGAAGAAAATCTACTCCCTAAAGAAAAAAACTAAGAGTTTGTCTCTGTCAGAGGCTGAAGACTCTGAAGAAAATGTGGTGGCAGAAGAAGAGGGGGAGGAGGAGGAGGAGGAAGACCCAGATGAAGTTGAATATTTCTTTCAAGAAGCCCCTTTGTGTGGACCCTGGACTCCTGGTAAAGATGGCTTCTATCAACAGATTGGCCAGAGGGTGCTTTGGCAACCACCTAAAAATGCCATACCGGCTCAGTTGATTAGTTTGCCTGCTAGGGAGAAAATTAAAAGAAGTGAATTTGGAGAAAGCATTGGTCTGGCTAATAGATCAAGGGAGAAGGAACAGGATGAGATTGTGTACAGTGATTATGATTATGGGTATTATGGAAAAAAGAGGCTTATAGCAAAACAAGAAGGCTCTGACCACAGAACTTCACAGAAGTCTTCAAGAGGTGAGTTAATATGAATGGGACAAAAGTGGTGTTGGTTCATGCTGCAAAGCATTCCAAATTATTTAACTCTAATTTTAAGTGCTAGCTGTATTCCCTACAACTGTGAAAGATGGAAAAACTCTCTAGGATTTTAAGTGTCTCTTAGGATACATCTACACAGCAGGGCAAAAATCGAATTAAGCTAAAGCAACTTCAACTATGCAATTGATGTAGCTGAAGTCAAATTGGCTTAATTCAGCTTTTGGTGCTATCTAAGCAGCAGGAAGCTGAGTAAGAGTTACCATAAGTCAGAATAAGAAGTCCTCCAGGGCAATGTTATTTTGAAATAAAGACTTGTAGTGTAGATGCACACTGTTTTGGAATAACACTGTGTATGTGCCCTTAGCGCAGGGATGGGGAACATTTTTTGAGGTCAGGGACTGCTGACCCACTGAAAAATCAGAGGCCTCATGCAAGTGAGAAGCACAAACAAAACTCGCTCTGTGGCCCCTGACCAAGAAGGACACTCTTCACATTCCCCTTGCACACTGGAGCCTGGTGGGGCAGGCTCGTAGATTTTTGTGTGCTCCAGCCCCTTGGTAGGGTTTTGGAAAGGGCTGGAGCACCACCATGGGTTCCCCATACTGGGGGAGGGGGCCCTGAGCCTCAGGGGTGGGATCGAAGCAAGCTGAGGTCCACATCTGGCCCCTGGGTCTGATGTTCCTCACCCCTACCTTAGAGAATTGTAGCACTTCTGGCTTTTAGATAAAGAACTATAGTGAACCTATTTTTTTTTTTTTTTTTTGGGGGGGGGAGGGTCCTGTGAATAGCCAAGTAACTTTTTGGACTAAGGCTAACTGTGACATCTTTAATACACTTGAACCTCTGCAGTCCCAGGTGTTTCTAATTGAAACACACCTGTGATAAGGAGGAAGAAGTGAATTGGCATGCTGCAGCTTTCCCTATCCCCCAGCTGGGGGCCTGGAAGTACAGCAATATACTTCCCTTATGACTTCCCCCACATGGTGGGGGTGCAGAGTCATGTTTGGCACACGTTCCTGCCAGGTAAGCATCCCACCTCTATTCCCCTCATGTCCAGACCCTGCAGCACCATTCTTGGCTCAACAGAGCCTTTAATCTGACATACCATTCAACACCATGTTCCCAGGGTTACCAGATTAAAGGTTCTACCAATGCACTTGAACTTCTTCATGCGTAGTTTTTCTCCCCCCGCCTCTTTCTCACCAAAGGTTGAGCATGTAGAGATTCACCTTGTAACAAATTACACTGTGGATTGATCCCCATTTTAATCTTATTGTCTTGGATAATACTAGGGATGTTACATTTTGATTAATCAGTTAATTGAGTAGCTGATGGACTTTCCATCAAGTACTCAATTAGGGGATAAGGGGAAGTGCTTGCTATCCCACTGCACTTTTCCCTTAATGTACAAGAACTGCTTGCAGTTCTGGTACATTTCAAAAAAGGCAGTGGGAACCAAAGCAGTCACTGCTGGCATGGCTTCCCCTCTGTGCCTCTTCCTTTTGAAATGTACAAGTGCCATATAATTGTAATTAATTTTAAAGTTTTTTTTTTTTTTTTTTTAAAATTTTTCCCCCACCCCAAGGGGAGTGCTAGAAATAAACAAGTGAAGTGAACTTCAGAAAACTGAGGTCCTGTGACACTAATTGATTAACTGACTGGTCATTAGCTACAGTTGTACTCTTGCTTTCTTTTAAGGTACTGTCATAAATGGCCATGATACACTAATTTAATCAAGTTGTAACTGCTCCCATGTGAGGTTTTGCATCCCTTTCACAATCTCTCTAGCAAATTTGGCAATACATAAAGGTATAATATTATAAACATGCCTATTACATGCAACGAATATTAAAAAACCACTAGTGCCTAACTAGTGCTATATAATTTTTGAAGAAAAAAGCATAATTTTGATGGTAACCTCAAATACTTTGCCTCTCTATTGTAGGTCTGCTACTATGGTATGTTAGTATGGTAATGTTGCTTACAATAGGTGCTTATTAATATTCTTCTGTTTTTAACTAGTAAGGTTACTAAAAGAAAACATGGGGATGGCAGCTGATGAGTACTGGATTAGAAGTGGTGCTAAACCCAAGTTTGTCAGCCAGATAAATGGTAGTCTCTCACCCACAACCAAAAGCAAAGAACAAGGTACAGCTGATTTTTGTTGTTACACATTTTATTTTTAAAGTGACCGTGAGCAATATATCGCAATGCAGCAACAAGTGATGCCTTGTAGTAAATGCTGAAGTGATGTTACAATATACAGCCTATTCCTGACTTACAAACCCGTTACGGACCAAGCAATTGGTCATAACTTGGTTCGTTTGTAAGTTGGACCCCATAGTTACATGCGACCGCGCTGTTCGTAAGCACAGATCGTGTTTGTAACTTGGGTTCCGCCATTTATGACCACTTTGGTCGTAACTGCGAACGGTCGTAAGTCAACAGTTCACAACTCGGGGACCAGCTGTATTTTTATTTAGTTAAGATAATTGGTAAGCCTGTCCTTGCTAGACATAACTCTTGACCTTTGGCAGCAGTTAATTACTCTCTTGACACAGGAATTCTACAGTTAAACCTCATTAGCTGATACAAATAGTACGTTTAGAGAATGTTGGCTACAGCGGTTGATCCACGCTAATTGGATAGATTTATGAAGAGTGTATAGGAAAGGAAAGAGCCCATGCTTCAGTAAAGAGAGTAGAAGTTATTAAATCCTACAAGCTTAAGTGAAAGCCTGTCTTAAAGTAGTAATGCTAACTTTATTTGGTCATTCAGGTTATCTGCTTTTGGATAAACCAAAGAAGAAAAGGATTGGCAAACCCCCTTACAAACGTAGAGACACAAGATGTGAGGCAGAAGACATTGAAGTGTGGGAAATGCCTAAACCCAGCGCGCACAAAGGTTAGCATACTGCTAGGTGCCATAAACACTAGATATGTTCTAGCAGCAAATCTAATCTTCCTGTTTGGTTGGTTTTTGTTTGGGGGGGGGGGAGAAAGAGGGGTGAATTTTTTTTGTCTGAATTCAAAACTTGGGTACATATTAGATTCACCTTTTTAACATATACTTCGTCATAAAGCAACTTTCACACTCTACTAAAAGCATCTTTCTGTCCTAAAACTACAGGCTTTCAAATTTTTAATTTGAATAACAGTGGTTGGCATTTCATATCACCTGTGGTAATATAGCTTTTTATACACTTCAGAGCATGGACTTTCTAAAAGACAAAATAGAGATGTGCCAACTTCAGTGTGCTGGAGTTCGTTACATGTCTTAATTCCAAGATCTTCAGTCTTACACTCATATGGTCTAATGGGAAGCTAGTCCAAAGATGTGAGGTTTGCCTATGGTATATTTGATGGGAGAGATCATAGTTGCTTGACCTAATAGTGGAAGACTGTTCATGTGTAAGAAATAGCATGGGGAGGGGGGGAGGGAACCTCTCTCCTACCTGAAACTGGTCTTCCACAATAACCCCTCCTAACATGAATAGTTAGCTCAGAGGTGCAAAAGCCCACCAAAGCAAAAGTAGAGGTGTCCCAAAGGCTAATTGACGTAAGAGGTACACAGTATTGACACTTTACTCCTGATCTTTTCAGTAGGAGCATTCAGTACATTTCAAACTACCTCCTGAATTTCCCTGCTAGTGCCAAAAGGCCATATTTCTAGCCTGCTTTCAGTTTCTGCATTGCATTTGTCATCCTGATGATGATACACTATAATAAAGCTTTATTTTGTTCCTTATCTCAATCCAATAAAGCAAGGAGTTTTATATTAACTGGTTAAATATTCAACAACCAACTTTAAAAAAAATCATTTCCATTCTTGTGTATTAGTTGTATGCAATCCAGGATCTGTGCGCTGCAGAATGTAGATCAGCAGAGTTGGTGGGAATGGAGTACCCTCAGAGTGGGTCTCAAAACTCCTAGTTTACTGCCTGCAATAGGATAACTCAATTCACAATAAGCATTAATGAAGAGAAAGTACATATGTTTAAAAACTAAATCAATTTTGTGTCTTTTAGGGTGTGGATCAAAGAGATTTCTCTACAAAAGAAGATAACTTATTGCAAAAGCAAGGGGGGAAACCTGATCATTACAAATGCTGGGGGAAGAACACAAATTTACTGAGGTTGCATGTCTCTTTAAAAATGAGTCCATAATTAGATCTTTGTATAAATATCTTTCTAAGCTGCTATGCACAGTTAAAGGGTAAGAAATACCACTGTAAAGAGTTGAAGTACACTATACAAATAAAATGAACACATGAAATAAAACACTCTAAATTGCAAATAAGCATGCTTACTTATTGCTTAAAAGCAATAAAATTAACCAAATTGCACTGTTTTTGTCTTTCCTGAACACGGAAGCACAAGCCTAAGGTAAGGAAGGGTTGTCTGAACTAGCAAACGCTTAGACCAGTAAGTGCAACTGATTATCTTCTTAACTTGGTTTAAAGTCTGTGCTGTCTGCAAGTCTTGTATGTAACCCTAATTTCAATGCTGCTTTGCAGAGGTCAAGACTTCAGGTAACTAAACTTCGGCTATATTCCGAGACCAAACAGTGCAGATGACCTCTCAAATACTCTTTTAGGAGTCCACTTAGGGCTTTCCCTGAGGTCCTCTCAGGTAGGGAAACTAGATCTAGGATAGTTGAAGGGTTATTCTCAGTGGTGAATACTAATGACAATACTCAGAATTTAGCGCTTTTTTTTTCCTTTTCAGGTCTTGAACAAAATGCAGTGGGGGGGGGGGAGGAAGGTGTGCGCTCCATATCCACTCACTTTTTATGTAATGAGCACTAAACATAAAATTTTGTCAGTTATCCCTAGTACTCTAGTTTTAAGGGATGACAACTGCAGGTGTCTTGGTGCTGTTGCAGCTACCCTGTCTCATACATTCATTATATTTAACTCTGAATTTGGGTACACATGACCTGGGTCTAACACCCCTCAAACATTTAAGTTCTTTTGTTGTTCTAAAAACGACTTCATCTTGATATGCCTGTCACTGCACTTGCACTCAAAGTGGCTTCCTTGCATGTTTAAAATACCTCTCTGAACTGTCTTGGTGATATATCTATGGGAATAGAATAAATCTCTAAGGTATATGTCAACATCTCAGAAGCAGTAGAGTCTCTAAGAGCTGAGCTAAGAACCATTGTAGAGAGCATTTCAATATAAGTAGCTCAGAACTGTTAGTGTGGCTATGGACCAAAACAGTAGCAGTTGAGTGTCACATGAAGTAGTCCCTGCCTGCCCTTCAGAAAGCTGTAGTGAGATCTAGTATATCTGAGTCAACTAGATAGCTAGCAAGCTTAACGTATCTAACTTAAGTCAGTTTGACTCAGAAAATCAGTGGGACAATGTATGTACAGATGTCTCTAGATTGCTACTTTAGTTATTAATGACTCAGATTATAGGCTTATAGCTATCGCTTTTGTCATGTTTTTACTAATGGGGACTTCAACAAACTTCAAACTTTTACCTGTGTAGGACAGCTGAAGGGGTGGGGGGGAATCATCTTTTGGGAGGGGGCAAAGTATGAAGAAACTGGATGTTGAACAGATTTCTTGCCTCTGACTCATTTCTAAAAGCTACCTGTGGCTAGCTAAATCTTGTCAGAGGGTAGAGTATAATCACTAAATTTTATGGCATTTGTGGCTTGACATTATCACTTGTAATTCTGCATCTTCCCATTCAGAGTGTAGAATTTGTCTGTTTGGTGTTTCTCCCATTTCAGTGTTGATTCTTAACTTCTTGTTCTAAGCTTCTGAATGAAAAGATCAATTTACTGCAGCAGTTCCAGTTAAATGAAAATGTAAAAACTAGCAAAGTCTTCACATGCTAATTATGGCTTGTCTAAGGAAATACAGATGTATTGCAAGAGACACATTTCCTCCACTGCACAATCCTATAGCTGGCTTGTTGGGCTAGTTGGTTGTTAATCAACTACTATGGAATGTCAAATTCATCTCTGACTTGTCATTCAATTTTGAGTAGCTTGGAATAGGGATGTAGTAGTGTAGTTGATTAACCTAATAAGCTTTTGCTTTTATTGATTAATGCTGTAGACAACATGCATTTTCCCCCACAGTAAACTTTTTTTAGCAGGCTGGCCAGCAGCCCAGCTCAGTTCTGGCTTGCTGGGTGTAGCCAGACAGAAATCCCTCCCCTCCTCCCTCTGAGATCCTTGGGAAAGAGAGAATCCTTGGGAACAAAACTGTCTTCAAAGGCTCCAAGGCCTCCAGAGGTGCTGGAATAACTATGGCCCTGGATGCTAGATAGGAACCAGATAACAGCGGCAATTGGACCAGCAGACGATCAGGGCCTTGGGCTGCCCTTGGCTAGTACCAGTAATTGATACACCTACACACCGTCCCAGAAGAGGAATCTGCCACCCCATCAGAAAAGAATGTCCGGCCCTAATTTAGCTACCTCCACCTTAAAGGTGCAAATTAAGCTTTGGACCCTCGATGGGAATGGGTGTCACAAAGATGTTCCAACTTAATTGGCATTTTAATGACGAGAAGCATCTACGTGACCACAGGGGTATAAAGTGGGGCCCTGTGCCCCACTCTAATTGGAGAGCCAACCATTTACCTGCTGGTCAGGTGGCCCTGGACTCCCGAGACTTTACGGATGCCTTTGGCTCGTACCGACTGCTTCCCACTGGGATTGAGAGAAACGCTGGCTTTGCCGGAGTAAGGATCGCAGGGGTGAGAATATACCTGCTAGGTGTCTGTTGTATGCACCTTCAATAAGAGCTCAGAGAACCAAAAGGGTTCCATGGTACCTTTAAGTGACTTCTATTAATTTATTGTATTTTTTCTGTCTTGTCTTTGTAGTGGCTGTGTTATCTGTAACACAGCAGTAACATTTAACAGCTAAGCTTGCCTTGTAACAATAAAATAGTAACTGTTTAAGCTTTAACTTCTCCAGTTGCTGTAACAGAACCAAACAATCAAAAAGAACCATAGCCAGTTTGGCCATCTTGCCGTGGCCGGGGTAAACGCAGGAAGAGCTGAGCGTTAAGTAGGGCCGCCTCCACAGGGCAGACTCTTAGGGCACCCGTCAGCCTCTCTGGCTGCCTGCTGTGAAGGGACTCTGTCCTAGCAGTTAAAGACTCGGGTGTGAGTGGTCTGTGAGCCCTATCATTACCCTGGCCACCAGCTAACACTGGGTCTGGGACCTACCCCTACTGTGGCTCTGAATTTAAAGTGTATTAGGAACCAGGCTGGCAGGCAGCCCAGCTCCGTTCCGGCTCATACTGGGTCCAAGAGCTCAACACCCTGTGCCTTACACAGGAACTGTTTTGAACTGGTTCCCCTTGTGGACCAGCTCCTGCCTTGCACCTTGCACTGCTGCCTCTGATCTGGAGGAAGCAATGCAGAATGGCAGAGGACTCCTTGACAGTAGGGCTGGAATACCCTGGCTGCTTGGCCTTGCCCTCCAGGAACTATAGAGTAGTCGAGTAACGGTTAAGAATTAATTGGGTTAATCAACTATTGAATTATTGGATATTTAACAATGACTGTACAGGCAGTCCCCGAGTTACGCGGATCTGACTTATGTCAGATCCGCAGTTACGAACGGGGCTTTTCTCGCCCCAGAGGACGCGAGCAACGGGTGGCCCAGATGCGGTCCTGCCGCCCGTATCCTCCGGGGCGAGAGAAGCTGCTCTGCGTCTCCCTGGTCTGCTGGGGGGGAGGGCCCCAGCAGACCAAGGAGACACAGAGCAAAGCCATGGAGGATGCGG